TTGATGTAGTGTTTGGGGTGTGTGAGTGTAAAATGAGGGGCCAAGAGTACTAGGTTGATGCATCGTAAAACATTTCTTCTCTCCTTTCCTCCTCTAATCGTGTCTGCCTTCATCTTTCTGACTTTCTCAAGGCATATTACCTAGGATTGTCAAATAAATAGTGAAGGATGTTAAGACAGATTCCTAATGCTTGTTTCCATAAAAGTGTGGCAGCATAGTTTGCATTTTCCTTTCAAAAGGTGTATACGAATAGGCTTAGGCTCAGGTATTGGCAAAGGACCCCCCTTTTTTGCATCTAGTAGGTCCTTGGAACTCATACACTGGACCAGTACCTAAAGGCACAAAGAGGACATGGATAGCATAGGTCAGTGTGCTTGAGAAGAGCACAGGTGAGATCCAGAACCTTTAGTTTTGGTATCTAGAAGACCTGGTTTAAATTTCAACTCTCTCTTCCTAGGTGACCTTGGATGTCACTTGTCTGTCTGTGTTTCCCTCTTTGTTTTTGTAAATTTGCTGGCACAAATGCCACTCACTTCACTGGCTTGTTGACAGGACATCCCTTTATATCTTGTGTCCTGCTGGGACTTAGGTTCTCAATTTTGGTTTCTGTTGTTTTCAGGTTGGAGATTATTCCTACCACACTGACCAAAGAGTTTTTCTTGGTTCCTGAGGTTTGTAAATTTCAGGAATTTCCAGCAGTGTTCCAGGGACTGTAATGTGATCTTGACCAAGCCCCTTATTCCCTTTTGATGACCTCAGTTGTGTTATATAGGAAGCGTATTGGTTGGCCTAGAACATGGCTTTCAAAACTTTTTGACCAGGGAATGTCTTGGTCTCGCCAGAAGTTCTGCCTGCCAGATACATCAGAGGCTGTTGAGGAAGGAATTGGTAAGTGACTCTCACATAGAGGCACAGAATGGAAGTAAAATAATGGAAGTTTTATTTGTCGACAAAGGTCGATCCCACCTAATCGCAGTGCCTGGACCAAGGATGCACTGGGTTACAACTCTTCCTTTTATAGGGTTTTACAGCCTTGACTTCATTCAGGTGGTAACATTTTATTCCTCAGTTTACATCACAGTCACAAGATAGTTAACTTTAAAACCCAGATGTAACAGTTCATTGCAGTTGGGGAGTTTACCTTAAGATTCCTCTAGCTATCCTAGTTCCCAGGAAGCGGGTATTCAAGGTGCGGGATGAGGTCACATGTCCCACTTCATGGTCAGTGCCTCCAGTGTCTGTTAATTTTTTAACTAAACAAAGCAGATTGCTGTTAGAGACAACAAAGGTTATTTTACATTTTCTTTTTTTTTTTTATTGAGTTTATTGGTACATTTAGGGATACAGTACAGTTACATTCATTGTTGGGATCATGTACCTTTACATGGCAAGTCTTGATTCTCATTTTTTTCCCCTTACCTCTGCCCTCCCTATTTTACATTTTCCTAAAATGTAGTTTTTTAGATTATTCACAACAGTTCTCTGTATGAAGGCAAGCTGCTGTTCAACTGAGGCAAGGCTTCACCCCTCTCTCCCAACTTGTTCTTGGACCATTCCTTGTAGAAGAATGTAAGGCATTGTTTCAGAACACAGTTTGAAAATCAATGTTCTAGGTTCATGGTTTTCAAATTTAGTATTAAAGTATCTCCTTTAGCCATGAAACATAATTTAGAAAATTGAAAATTAAAAGGAAAGTCTAGTGTATTTACCAATATTTTTGCTTACTATGTTCTGTTATTCTAATGTTCTGCATTCTGTCTCTTACTGTTTCTATTTATAGAACTTTCCTTACCTATTCTTTTAGGATGTATCTGTTGGATGTAATTCTTAATTTTTCTTTTGAGATTGTCTTGATTTCCTCTTCATACTTGAAGGATATGGAATTCGGAATTGGGAGTTCTTTTCTTTCAGCGATTGAAAATTTTCTTTCTTCCAGCCACTTCCTTCTGGTCTGCATGGTTTCTGATGAGAAATTCCTTATTTCCTTTGAATCATTGTGCTCATATAGGTAGGGTGTCATTTTTCTCTCTCACTACTTCTAAGATTTTTTTTCTTTTCACTTCTCAAGATGTTTGATGCTTTGATTTGTATTTCTTTGAGTTTATTCTGTATGTAGTTTGTTCAGTTCTTAAATCTGTAGGCTTATCTTTTGCAAAATTTCAGAAATGTTCAGTCATTGTTTCCTTGAATTATTTCTTTGTTCCATCTTATTTTCTTCTGGAAAACTTTTGACACAGATATTAGATTTTTTTTAATACCCCTGTGTGTTTCTGAAGCTCTGTTCTTTTAATTTTTTTGAAGTATGCATTCTCTAAGTCTTTAAAAGTAAGACATTTCTATTGTTCTATTTTCTAGTTTGTTGATTCTTTCCTGTGTGCTCTCAATTCTGTCATCGATCCACTTGTACAGCTCTTAAAACAAATTTTCAGTCATCATGTTTGTCAATTCTGAATTTTCCATTACATTCTTTATTCTGTTTTTGTCACTGATACTTTATAGTTTTAGATTCTTTCAGGTGAGTTCTTAATTCACAGTGAAGTATTTTTCTGATGACTGCTTTACTTTTTTGACAGATAATTCTAATATCTCTCATTGGCATAATTATCTGTTGATTGTAGCTTTTTATTTAGTTTGAGATCTCCTAGTTCTTGGTATGATGAGTGATTTTTGTTGCAATCTGTACATTTCTTTTTTCTTTTCTTTTT